AAACACTTGTTTGCCATAGGCGTTGCATAAAATATAGGAATGCGCTGAGGTACACAATTGGACCCAATCCGTATCTTCCAACAGGCAACCTAAGATATGCCTCCTACCTGCAGTTCCTCATGCTTTCCCCAATGCTCCTCCAACAACAGTAACAGCTCCTGAGCCCTTCCCAGAGCAAACACTGGCAGCAGGCATTTACCACCAGTGCGGACAATCTGATCATAATTTCGTGCCGCTTACCACCAAGAGCAGTTGACTAACCTCATGAACACTATTCAAGAACCTCGCCTCTCTCTCTTTCCTGACAAAAACCACATCTTGTATTTTTTCACGCGCCACAAAATTATTCAAAAAACCCCGCTTTCTCACACGACTGCAATAATCGATCAACTGGGCGAGCGCTTTTACTACTACCTCGGCTCATGCAGCTGTACTCCGTACGTACTCTCAACCACCAGTGCATGTATGGGCGCCGGGACTACCTCCGCGTGGGGTAGATGTCGGTCGATCTAAGGAGCGTACTTTTTTTCTCAGGAAAAAAATCGGAAAAAATATGCGTTTCTCTTCAAAAAATAAAATTTTTGATCTGAAACTTCAACGGTATAGATATTACATGTGGCGTAATATACAAAAAGACGTATATAGAATATAATAGAAAATGCATAAAATATAGTGACAATATAATGGAGTTTCACCCTAATGATATGAAAAACTCTAGTGAAAAATATATTTCACGACTACTGCATATCACCGCGAAAATCGCGTTTTACACCGAGTTTTACGCCACTTCGCGTAAAACGGGTGAAACTCCAATAGAATTTAATACTTGTATTTATAGCAGAGACAATATGCATATAGACATACATTTTAAATTGTCACATTCCCAACCATCACCGATATATACGCGCAGGGCGAGTTATGATTCATTTCTAGCTCTTCGCGACCTATACCACGTACGCGCAGCTCAGTGGAGCGTTGCAGAAAATACCCAAAAAAGATTGAGCTATAATTTCTGGATGGGATCTCTTAGAA